ATACAATCGATGCAAAATGTGGGTCAAGGATGGGAGTAAACGATGCTAGGGCGCGGTGAATCACTGAGATCGGTCGGGCAGTCAGAAGCTCGAGCCAGGTGACAGCTCGGCGCTGATAGGACTATGACGATCAGGTATACACTAGTCAAACGGCAAGAAACATCAGCCTGGACAACAAGTGACTTTGTCATATCAAAACCGCGGTCAGGCGCCAAAATCGTGATGAGCAGGGTTAATGGTGAACAACGCACGGGATGGCAGGGTCTAGGCCGATAAGCGCTTTGAAGCTTGGACACTATATCTGGATGAAGCTGTCAATCCACACTCCAAATCAGCCAAGCGCCATGATATATATTTCAAAGATGATGGAAATTAAAAAAGAACGGAAAGGAAGTCCAAATCTATCCCAAGAGTTCACAGAAATCTCAGAATGCACAAGGGGAGAAACATCACCTGGGCTCTCTCCGCATGCATGTGATCTATGACTCCATCGCCCCTTATGTCAGCTGAGTGCCTGAGGCAAACAGCATTTATACGTTGTAGGCCTTTATGCCTCTTCAGATATATTGAATACCAAATTGAAGTTAAATTGAAGTTGAAGATGCGTGGAAGGAAATCTTAACTTAGAGAGGCGTTTAGAAAGGAGCTCATCGGACTATACTCATTGCTTCGACACTATCAAATCAACAAAAGACAATGGAACACAGAGAAAATAAGATTGTAAATTGTACATAGTATTGGGGACGTCGTCAAACCAAAGCTATTCTCAAAGCACACTAACGCCAAATCATGCCTTTTCGGACTTCTTCCGCTTCTTTTCTTCCTTGTCCTTGTGGGACTTCTTCGACTTCTTCCGGCTCAGACTGTCATCCTCATCCTTTTCTTGTGAGTGCTTCTTTGACTTCTTCCGAGGAAGCACTGCAGCTTGGGGAGCTTCATCCTCAGCGTCATCGTGATCAAGCTTCCTCTTCCGTTCCTCTCCCTTGGGAACCTTGAACGAAGGCGCCTCACCCTCCGATTCCGAGCTATATCCAAGCGTCTCTGGAAGCGCACTCGTTGTACCGACAGGCCGGAAGCGCATTTTCATGTGCTTCGGCTGCGGCCGGGCTGGCTTGACATATTCGCGCAACTCTGCCACTACAGCATCGGTCTTTTTTGATGTGCTTGGGAGACCGATCATTTCTTGGACGTGGTAACTTGGGATGCTTTGGGCTGCTGTGGAATATGTTTGTGTCTTCTCGTCGAACAGAAGTAGTGATTTGGTTGCGGGATCGGCCTCGGAAAGAGCCTCAGCTGGGATGCCGTAGTTCACACCGTCGTGGGAGATGATCGGTTCACCCTGCATGATCTTGGCCATGCACACCTCTTTGATTTTGGACAAAGGTAGAGAGGCTGGTGCTGTGAGGTGAAGGACTTGCTTGCCGTTGAGGTTGGAGAGAAGGGAGGAGACTTTGGAGGATGGCGGGGCCTGCTTCTTTGCAGACTTGAAACCCGCTGGTGGTTTGTATGGCTGAGGACCGGAGATTACAACCCTATGGGCACAAGTATTAGTTACTATAAGAGCCGATAGAGGATAATCTCTCACTTCTTGCCTGAGCTGGAGTCGGGCTTCATCTCGTTGGAGTCGTCGGAGTCGCTATCCGAATCCGAACCTGAGTCCGAGGTATCATCTTCGCTTGATTCCTGTACCTTTGTATTCTTCGTCATTTCTTTCTCTTTTTCAGTCATGAGGTCAAGCGAGGCCGATCTGCTCGAGCTGCTATCGCTGTCGGATGATGCCATGGCGATTGTTCAATTGTGTAGGGCAAACTCGAGGTCGACACTCAAATGCTTTCGCAAGAATGCGCGGCGTTTGGTACACCCGAAATCCACAAGACGAACGAAATGAAACGATGGAGTAATGCACAGGGTATATACGCGAAGTTTCAGCAAAGCCGATTTCGCAAAATGAATTGGATCGACGTTGAGTGAGGATGCTCAGGTCCAACGATCTTTTTTTTCTGCTCCGCGGGAGCACGGACCACCAGCCAACTTTTTTTGCTTATCGGCTTTGGATCGCATTATCGAGGTCGATTTCTTTTCGAACACAAGCTCGAAGCTTGTCTGCCCGGATTGTATAATATCATGGTTAAGCGAAAGGCCGAAAAACAGCAACCAGCTGGTAAGCCGTCTATCCATGCTCTACAACACCAATTTGAAGCTCACATGTCGTTTCTCTAGGCCCTGTTAGCGCTGTCGCTGCTTTGGCAGCGCGCAGAGCTCGACAACAACAAGAAGCACAGAGCGCGAATGTACCAACGGATGCACCGCAGGCTATTGTTGCGAGCGAACCACCCTCGAAAAAGTCACGACAGTCTCTCGATGGACCTGAGGCGACTGGGACAAAAGAAGAGCATCGTGGTACACGGACAAAGGCAGCAAAGAAACAAGATAAACTATTGCGCACAGAGATAATACCGGAGCGGCCACTTAGAGCTACCCGGCCTCAAAAATTGGAAGTGAAGCCCGAGTTGGAGGATACTCATGAGCACCTCTCAGACGAGCAGTCTGAAAAGGACCAAGTCGAGCATGCAGAAGAGATGGATGAGGATGATATTGCATCTGTTATGGGTGATGCCGATGGCTATGAATCACCCGCAGAAACACCCGCAGAGCTTCGGAATTTCCCTCTATCCAAGGCTCGGTTGAACGAAAGCAACATAGTCTACAGCGATGAGAGCACACTTTGCATTCGCATTAAGGAACGCACGGTATGGATGAACTTTCCGGCCATTTGGAGTGAATACTGATCTTTCCCTTAGAACCTGGCGTTGTTGGGCCATTATGATCTCTGGGTCAAAAGAGGTGTTGTCAGTCTGATGGGCGCGAAGTTACATCCGTCCTCGCAGTTGCATAGAGTTTATGCTCCCTCGACCCACTCTTTGCCAGTTATCAAATGTGTTGCTGGAATTGATGGCGACGCAGAAGTGGAGATCAAGTCTTGTACTAGCGGTATCTCCCGCCTCCGTGACCTCTCGCCTCTGTATCAAAGGATATGGGCTGGCGAGAACACCGCTGCAGATAAAATCACCCTGAAAGGAGCCGTCAAAGACTCAAAGCGGACTTTTTCAGTGGTATGCAATCATACTCTACTCCAGCTCGAGCTGTATTCAAAGCTAATTGACTTGACAGTTGTATACTTCGGCAGATGATTCTTTAAATAGACATATCCGACCCCTTCACCTCGACAAGAAATGGAGCGCGTCGATGAAAGCTCTCTCACAACGCGAAGGCCAACTTCGTGTTCTAATTTGTGGCCCCAAAGCATCCGGAAAGTCCACCTTTAGTCGCTACTTGTTGAATCACGTTTTAAGTCCGACACCCGAGACCGAGAATGGATATACTAATACCGATGGAGTTGCTTTCCTGGATCTAGACCCAGGTCAGCCTGAGTTTGCCCCTATGGGTCAAGTGTATCTCGCGCGGTTGCGCTCTCCCTTCTTCGGTCCGCCTTTCACCCACCCATCATTGGACGATTCCCGTGACGGTGAAATAGTGCGGGCGCATCATATCGGCGCAGCGTCGCCAAAAGAAGACCCCGATCACTATGCGCTGGCCGTCATGGATCTTATGGATCAATACCGCTCGTTGCTGGAGAAACATCCCCAATGCCCTCTGATTATCAACTACCCCGGTTGGATCTTTGGGCAAGGATTAGAGGTTGCGACTTGGCTGGTCAGATCTCTCGGTCTCTCTGATGTGGTATATATGAGTGAAAAAGGCCCATCAGAAGTTGTGGATCCGTTAGGTCTAGCTGCCCGTGAGGCTCGAGTCCCCTTGACCATCCTCCCATCCCAGCCCACTGATTTCGTGAGCCGATCAAGCGCTCAATTGCGAGCGATGCAAATTCAGTCATACTTTCATATGTCTCATCCAAATGATCTCATCACTTCCCTTTGGTCAGATGTACCGCTATCTCGCACGAGGCCTATTACTGTGGACTATGCTGGTGCACGACAAGGTATTTTGGGCGTCATGGTCATGGGATCCCAGATCAATCCTGATCTACTGCACGAAACACTTGAAGGTGCTATCGTAGGAGTCGTTGCGGTGGAATCGCCGAACGCCATCATGAGTGGGATCTCAGCATCAAATGACGAAGGCCATGACGATATTGACATGGGTTCAGCAAACTCAGGCGTGGGTAATTCGGCTGAGCTTTCCATCCCTGACAGCATTGTGCGAACATCCGAAGATCTTCCTTATCTCTTTGTTGGTTCCGGCAGTTGCACACCATTGGATCCCAAAGCGTCAAACTGTCTTGGTCTTGCTTTAGTCCGCTCGATCGATACCTATTCGCGCAAGCTTGAGATATCCACTCCTATTCCCTCATCTCACCTAGAAAAGGCCATCGAGCAAGGGCATGGCATTGTGCTAGTCCGTGGCCAGCTTGATAACCCGAATTGGGCTATCAGTGAAGAGTACTACGCCGCTCGTGCGGCAGAGCGGCGCTACCAGCAATCGACCTCTGGGCCGAGGAAAGCTGGAGACATTGGCAGTGAACAGGCATACGAGCTCGATCCAGCCGAGCATAGTCGAACGCTTGCACTGCTGCGAGAGAGGGTTCGCCGGGCGAGCAATGTGCCTTGGATGACTGTCGTGGAAGATAATAGTCGTCACCAGCGTGAAGTTGCTGCGCGACGAGAAAAGTCACTATGGAAATTGAGGAAGAAGGCATATCCCGGCAGCGAGAGCGAAGCGGACTACTAGCTCCCTTCTATCAAATATATACATAGAATTCAAATGTGACAGCAGTTTGCACATAACGTTACTGATTTCTATATATAGGCCTGGAGGTTTCACAAGGCATTTCCACCCCAAAGTTACTCATTGTTTGATTCTATGACCTGTGATTTTTCTCGGGTTTGGCTACTGATGGAATTTGTGATCTGTAACAAGAGATACGAATGAAGAGACTAACTTGAAGCATTGAAAATACAGCGAAAACAAAACGACACCGCTCAACACAAAGCATTGACAAGTTCCTGCAGGGTTGCCCTCGGTTCCTGCCAATAGTTTGGAATATTTGACGCTTCGCACTTGACAATCCAATGGAACCCTCCAGACGGCAAAACTCGAGTCATGATATATTTGTCTTGAAGGACCCGGCCTGTTACAAGTCTGGCAATGCCCTGAATCTTGACAGGCTGTCCTAGTTGCAAGACAAGCGTGGTTAACATCCCCTCCTCTGTGATAGAAAACTCCTTATTTCGAAGCCAGTGCCTCATAATGATCCGCATTTCCAAGAATATAGACTTCTTGAATGCACCGAGAACCCATAGACCCGCGTAGATCTCAGCAAACCGAATTTGTTGTCCCCCTCTGGCAAGCGTAAAGAGGCGTTGACAATTGCTGTGTAGAGGCCTCGAAATCAGTTTATAAGAATAGCCTCCTATGGCGGCCTGTCTGTTCGTGCGCATTATCATCAAGTCTATCGTAAGTTAGCCTCCAATTTAATAAAATCATAATACACTTCTCACCACTAGGGACTGGATAGACACCTGGCCCGATCACGCACATCTCTTCTATCTTCGACTCCCGGGAAATAGCAAAAAAGCTTTCGAATAGCGCCCAAATATGGCTGCAGTTCTCGGATTTCTGAAGGGCCTCATATATCCGATCAATTGTGAAATGCGTAACTATGCTGCTTCCGGCGCACGCTGTCCATAATTTCTCGTCGATAGGCTCGAATAAAGGCCCTCGCGTGTCTGCGTCGAGTTTTATGACAAAGTCTGTAAGTTGTTAGCCAATATAACTTAACTCAATAGGTACATCTCTCTGACCATCTGGAGCGTCATAGATTCCCGTCCCTATTCTTCTAAATTCTCGCAAGAACGTATCAGGATCTGGTCCTTCAGTTAGTTTTATAATGATGTGGCTGTTGGAGAGCATACCGTGAGGAGCGAAGTCCATTTTTGTTGATCTGATTCTTTGCCTTTCTCAAAGCATTGCTGGAAGAGGTCTTTCTTTTTATATCCTTAATATATGCTGGAGCCGTTTGACGTCCTTGGATGGCTTAGACGAGCTGATGAGCCAGGACTTGGTAAGTAGACACTCTAATTTAAGTGATCTCAAGCTCGGAGTCAGTCAAGTCCATTATCTCTGGGTGAAAACTACCTGCACTTCATCACTTCGACTCATTTGACGGCAAGTCCGTTGTGCTTACAGGCATCTACGGATAACTACCGTCCCTGTTCTTTCTCTAACCAGGCGTCAGCTGGTAGAATTACCATGGTCTAGATTTTTGTTACTTTCCATGCAACGCATTTTTCTTGACACACAATGCTAGCTAGTAAAATCGTTCCATTTAGACCTTTAGATTGATATCTGGAAGATTTGGCTATCAAGAAGCCATCAGAAATCAATAATCCTGAGAATGAAGTGGAACTAAAAAAGAGACTTACCTGGCTAATATTTGGCACCATGTTCAAGGCAGCCTTTCCAAAATTAGTCGAATAATTGGTGCTCCTCACTCCGACATCAATGATCATGCCTTTGACAAGTCGAATATTGGGAGGGATGTAAGGTAGCACAATGATTGTGCTGTCTGAGTTGCCGTCTAATTGCGTAGGGATGTTTCGAGCCCGGTCTGCTAGGGGTTGAAGTGTGAGAGAGCAACAATAAAAAAAGTCTTGCGCTTTACCGGGCAACTCACTGGAATAATCTTTAAGTGGACTAATCCGGGATGTTTCTCCCTTATCCGTTGGTTTTGGATTGCAGACTGATGGAGGCAGTATGTATACTGCAGGCTCAGTCCGTGTATATGAGCCAGCATTTCGGATCGTTGGTTTTAGGTCTTCATCTGCTTCTTGCTTTCCTTCCGATCCGCAAAAAGACCGTACCCAGTTTGGAAGAAGTGATCGAAACGATCGAAGCGAGACAAAAGAAAGACATTCCATGAGGCCAATGTGAGTAATAGTGTAGACAAGTATGGTGAAAGCATCAACAGAGAGGAAATGCTTCATACATAAGCTGTTTTTTTACAACTCCAGGAGGCTATAAAGGGGACCTTTTTCTACTATCCAGAAGATCTAGTCATGGTAAGTACAGGCATTTTTGCTAGTGACAATGATATATAGCCAACCCGATTCCTGTCTAATTCCTATATGATCTAGCAAAAACTGCTTTAGAGGCAATGTTCACCAATTGACTCTCGGTGAGAACGGACGCCGTTAGAAAATCTTAGCCAAGATGCTATCATGTTGCTAGATATCTATAAGGCTTTGAGAAGCCCGAGCCTTCATAAGGACCTACACAGTCTTTCTCTCGACAAAGACTCAATCTTCTTCGTGGGGACACGACTTATAATGCCGACGCTGATCACTTGCCATTTCGATGCTTCATCGACTAAGTTAAGATAGAACGATATCAACGCATTATTTGTGCTTATAAGCCCTAAGTGATCATTGCAGGTGCAATATATGAATTGGAACTATGTATACATGCTTTGATCAAAAGTATCCGAGCTTTCTGAGGCGGTTACTAATGTCTTCGAGACAGTCATCATACCAATCGTTCAAACCCTTGTGTATCTCATATCCCAAAACTGCTGCCAGAAGTTGCCTTTTTTCATACTCCTGCAGGTATTTTGAGTGTAGGTGTTGGTAACAAAGAGCTTTCCTCAAGTCAGAATCCTTTGCCGATTGTTGAAAGACAATCGGATCATCGCTGCTCAAGGGGACGAATTTTATGATCCCATATTTTCCCCAAACCCGTGAAATACCAGCCTCGACTACCGCAAGGTCCACTAGAAATGCATCGTTCGTATTGCCATAATCGTCCTGGGCTTGAGCATTAAAATCTTGAAGAGGAATAGCATCAAAAACCACATCGTCGAGGCCCTTTCTTTTGATGTCTTCCATAGGTTGAGTTCCTTTGTAAGAAAACAAAATTCGCACGGTCTAATTTGGTTAGATCTCGGTATTAACGTGGAGGAAAGGACAACCTACGTGCAAGCGTATTGGTACTGAGTCTTTGCCAGAAACACCAGGGCTTGAAGCGGTAGGCAAGGCTGGCTCTTCCTTCGACATCATTGGCGTGGTGCCATTCGCAGATTCATGCGTACAGCCTCGATTGGGATCTGGACCTCCGAATAAAACTGTCTCTCGCGAGCTGCCTGGGGAGGTGAAGAGGCGCGATATGTAGCTCGAAAGCATACAACGAATTCTGTATAAGCTCAAACAGGTCATAGTCTCCCGGTGGTAAACCTCAGAGATTCGGATAAGTCCGAGAAACAGCAGTTTCTTTATATCATGATGATATAGTCAAGATCTACAGGGAAAGTCAGGTAGGACTGTAGTAATTAGCTATGGTCTCAAGAAGGCAAAGCCAAAGAAAGCAAAGCGGGGGAAAGGGTGATGAGCCCAAACTTGTGACTCTGCATGTTCCCGCGAAGCTGAAAGCCAATGAATGCGTAGATTGTTAGAACGCGATCTGACAATCTACACATTCATTGGCTCGTCGAAATGTGCCCTTTATTGCTCTTCTCATCCAAAACCAGGAGCTTTCCCTGGCTGTTGGCCCCGTGGAGTCTCTCTAACCTCCAACTAAGAATTTCGCTGTGAGAATGTATGCTTCTGAAGCTGAAACCGTATTGGCTTTGCGGGTTCTTCTCAATTCTTCAAATGAAATACTCCACGCTCATCGCGACCTCGCCCTACAAACATTAGAACAGGTTAGATCCGTTCTCGCCGTCAAACCTCATAACAACACAACGAGCTCCAATATACAAGCAGAGCAGTTGCCATTTCGCAACCATGAAACCCCCGAGGACCACTCTCCTTGCCAGCTCGAAGACCGGTCGCACGCTATCGCCGACCCGACCGAACCATCGAGAACTGCTGAGAGCGAAAGGAACCATGAGGCTGAACCTGAGACTCTTGATGGGTTACGGTCGCATGGTAAATCTACCTTGGCTCAAGTCAATGTAAGAAACCGCAAAAGAGAACTAGCCACGGAGACTCGACTGGCCAAGCTTTTGCAAGCCATAGAGAAACACCTTCCAAAGTTCGTGGAATTTTCTCAGAAGACAGCGTCGCTCTTTGACTTGTTGGACAATGTTCAGGGCCGAGGAGGATTCAACATGCGCCTGGATCACATCAAGCGAATTGATGGGAATAAGACCCCCAACGAAAAGGAGAGACTCTTGAAAGGACTTTGCCAGATTTCGCTTGCTCGAGAATTCACGGCATGGGAGCGCAAACGAGGTTGGTCTACCAGAGTTGATCAACTTTACTCTCAAATCAGTAAATCCTCTCCAGGAGGTCAAAGGTCAAAGAAACGGCTTGGTAAAGTTTCTCAATACCTAAGAGATGCCGGTTGTCGCGACACAGATCGCAGCGTGGCCAACAAAGCACTATGTCAAGGCACAATTCAATTGTTGTTCAAAGACTTGATAGAGGAAGCCCTTGGGGATTCTTCTCTGGAGCAGGTCGCTGGAGGTCTATTTTCCGCGGTGGCGATCTTCGAATTTCATCAATTTCAGTTGCTGACAGTTCAACAATTGCCTCAACTCATCGACTTCCTGATTCCGGAAGATGCTCATCTCGGCTCTGGGGATTGTGCATATAGCCATCGCTCGTTGCGGCCTTCTTTACATTCCATAAAAAGAGCTGCGGTGTGGTCGGAAAGGTTACAGTCTGATTTCGAATCTTACTGTAGAACGAATTGTCTAAATATGCGGGACACCATCTACCAATCATCTGAGGCGCAGACAGAAGAGAATGGGCCACCGAAAGCCAACATAACCCGAGTCGAACAAGTTCTGCCTTCAAACGGACTCGGTCATTATATTGGAACAAGCACTGGAGGTGGAAGTCAAATGTTGTTCAGCGGGAATTTGGATTTACATCAAGATCAAAGAATACGCCATTTTGACGCCAGTCACAATCCGCCAGCCACGAGCCCGGCAACATGGAGTATAGGAGAGGTGACAGCAAACTCTTCAAGTATTTTACCACATGTTCAGTCACAGACAATCACACATGATGTCAACCGGGGAGTTGATCCTGAGCCAGGAATCATGCATCCTCGTCTGTTTTCACAATTCATGATTCCTTCCTCGGCTGACACGGTAATACCTTCCATATCACCGCAAATTTACTTGCCGAGATCGATGGATATCGAGCCAGATATATTATATTCCGACTTTCTCCCCGGCACTGTCGACTCCTTGATATTGTCAAACTTTCCCCAGATCACACCTTATGCAACCACCCATTCCCCAACGGAGCAGAACTATGGCAATGCCAATGTTCGAACAGACACGACGTTTTCCAACTACCCTACCCAAGTACAGAGATTCGATCCATACGCTTGAGGGATTGAGACAATGATATCGTGATTTGGTTGGTGCAGACAGAATCATGCTAGGCTTGGGGTTCGAGGAATGGCTATGATGAAAAGGAGGAAGCCATTGAGGATAACTTCTTTTTCGAAAAATACTAGACTCGAGTCTGGCGTGAAGGCCTTCCCGCCGACAATAGTGCCTTTTCCTGACAAGATCTTAATGAACCCATTCTGTCCGAACATCTTTGCTGTGTCCGTGGTTTTCCATGCCTGTAGCCCGCATCCCTTGAATTGTGGGGGGAGGTGTTCAGCTACTTCATCCCAAACTTTTTTCAAGCCATCGTCATCGCAAAAAAATGTGTTCTGGCCTGTTTGCTGCCAGTGCGCGCCGGAAAAGAAATCGATAAGCCGATCCATCGAGTGTCAAATCCTGAAGCGCAGGCAGCAACCCAGAGACTCTCGTCTACTAGATAGCATCATAATTCTTAGCTTACCCGGTTCTGAGAACCCCATCAAAGGAAATAATAGACTGCTTACCTAGGTCAGAGCAGTTTAGAGGCGTCGCTTAGATCGAAAAATGGGTTCGTCCGAACAAGACGCTAGTTGCAACCAGGCCGCGGTTGAACTAGAGAATCGTTTAGTCAAGCCGAATTCTTAGTAGACGTAGAAACATAGTTTCACAGATGCAAGGAGGAACAAGGATGGCGATTTGGAAGACGAAGCCAGAGATGGTGGGGTTGAATAAGACAGCGGGGTAACCTTTGGATTTGATAGAATACGGAGATCGAAGAAGGCCAAATAGGAAGTGACTTCTCGCTCGAATTCTTAATTTTCTATACTACATCGTGTGTGTAGATACAAAATAGATATATTTCGCTTTAGATAACGCTTAGTTTGACAAAAGGAGGCTGGCAAGCTAACGCGTCGATGGGATTATGAATTCTATCAGCATTGCTAAGAGGTCTATTGACATCGCCAAACGTAGAAGCGAGACTGGTGCGTCTAATGACTTCCCAATCGACAAGATGTATAATATGTGCTAATATCGACTTTAGTTATAAATTAAGGATGACTATTAACATCTCATACCGCAGCGGTATTTATTCTCGAGCCAACGAAGTATTCTATCCTAATTTTGTAAACCAAACTGCATACACACTGTCTTCACTCTTCCCTTCGCCCCATAGTCGCTCAAATCCATATTAATAGGATCCCCTATATCATGAAACCCGCACTTCCGATACATCGCGTGACCTGCGGATGATGCTTCCAGCCATGCTGTATCTTATGGAAACTGGCTTCTTCTAGCCCTGCTCTGACAAGTGCAGTGCCGACACCTTTACCCCGGGCTTGAGGACGGACCGCGAGAACCTCGAGGACTATAGAGTATCTGAGTAAAGGCTTCTATCGTAAAAATTTGGTCAACTCACGGCTAGCGCATTTTCCAGTAATCCATTTTCTTCGCCTTGCTGCTACAGCTCTATAGAAGTCTAGGAAGGCTGCTGGGTTACCCGCAGTGTCAGGGGCTGTTTTCTGTCTCTCTTCGGTGGCTGCCGCTTCTCTTTCATGGGTTTTTCCGTCAAGGTAGACAGTCCACAATGACCACCCCATGATTTCACCAGTCTCTCTGTCCGTCGCCTTCAAAAACAGTGCAGTTGAACTAGTCGTGAGTAGCCCCCGAAGGAATCCTATCATGTCTTCTCTCTGATCTGGCAAGCCGTACATCAAATGCATAAGCTTGTCATTTTCAAATGCCTCATCATGGATACGAACGAGGGTCGGAATATCCTCGGCGGTGACTGGTTGTAATGAGAAAGAGGATAGCCTAGACATTGTGCCTCAAGGCTTCCTTGTTGTGGAGGAATTTAATTAAGTGTCAAAAGAACGGCAATAGAACGGGGACTTTCGGAATGTATCTGTATCTGCTGCGACGGCTTTGAGGTCTTAATTGGAAGCTCGACATCAAAATGCCTGTGGGGATAACTGTCGAATAGAACTCCGTAGAGTCCGCCCCGCTATCATGTGATCGATCCAACTACGTTTATAGTTGGCGATAGAGGCATAATATTGGTTAGCAGACTGTGCTTTATCCCGTGCTAATCCATCAGACTATGCACATCTTTGTACCAGCAAGATCCCTTCATCCGAAAAGGACATTTGACATGACAAGTTAAGCGGCACCGTTATTTCATTCTATATCGAGCGGTTCATATAAGATCAGGTTGTAAATAACAAATGCAAGGCTCATAACAAGAAAAAGACTTTCCATGCATAACGCTTAGTTTGACAAAAGGCGGCTGGCAAGCCAAGACAAGATATAAGCAGGCTTACAGCTCCCTGTCCCAGGACGAGGCATCACTGTCTGTCTGATCTCCTTGTTTCTGCCACGACTGGAACATGAGAGTTGCCACGTTCCGGCCCATCAATGCACTAGTCTCCATTGTCGAGATGAAGCTCTCGATGCCACCTGTGTACCACACACCTGGAGCTAGAAGAGTCTCCTCAAAGGTCACTCGCGGATACAGAAGAGGGTATGGGTTCCATAGCTTCTCGTGGAACCAGCTGATATCACTTATCGATAGGTCTCCAATGGTCGTATTGCTCCCCACAGTCTCACTCTCCAGCCCCAGAATCTGCGCAATGAATTCAGCCGTGGGCCGCCCCGGCGAGAAGATTTTGTAAACATAATGTTGCTGTTTGTCTTCAGAACCCGCAACAGAATGATCTACTGTTCGAAGTGTACTAATACTCCAGAAGTCGGTGAGGCCAACACCATCTGGGTTCGAACCCAGATCAACGCCCTTGGGTAGAGTGGTCAGAATAGTCTCGGGCGCTCGAGCATTTGAATCGTTCAGACCAAAATACTTCGGTGAGATGCGGTGAGGGGATGCAAAGAGAGTAACGTGCAAATTGACATATGGAATCTCATCTGGAGTGTGTTCCAAGGGAGGGGAGACGGAGATATCCGAGTACTGCAAAGGACCGGCAATGACAACTTCGTCGAATAGCTCATGCTCGGAGCTGGTAGCGGTGTTGAGCTTTGAGGAGACCCGTACAGTCCCATCATCGTTGCGTGAAATCTCAGTTGCGGTGGTGTTCACTTTGATATTCACCTCCGAGGCCCTCAGCGCGCCATCGAAAATGCGCCAATTTCCACCCTCGATAGAAACAGCTCCATCCGTAGCCATACAGACGACAGATTCCAAGCCATGAATCAGCTGCAGGTTCTGTCCATAATTCACTCGAGTACTTGCTTGGATGATCTCATTCGCAAACAGCGAGTTGATTTCATTTGCCCGGAGAAACACATCGCCAGGAGATGCAGTAGCATTGATCAAGTCAGCCGCAATAGCCGCCTCAGTAAGAGAGCTGAAAGGGAATAAAGGCTCTTCATAAAGGCGGAGAAACCTGCCAACGACACTCTTTACCAGATTCTGAGTACGCAGAGGCGCCAGTCCATAACGCCAGAAGAGCCGGCCGATATTCCACCAGCTATACGAATTCTTCAACGTGAAAACGAACTGGGTCCCATCCCAGATCCCGATACTCTCAGCAGTCTCCCTGGGCCGTGCATGGTCAGCACTATTGACCGTCAGGCCGAGGTCACGGGAAGCGTTGACCAGGTTGTAATTGATCTGGACAAAAATGGAAGCACCCAGTTCAATGGGGTACGCTGGGTCGTCGAATACATTGACTGTTGTTGAGCGGCCGCCAACATATGATTCACGCTCATAGACTGTGATTTCCACAGGAATCTTGGCTTCATCTGCCAGCTTGCGCAGTTGATATGCAGCAAACGAGCCTCCGGCTCCGGCGCCTATGGGAGTATCAGCCCCGTATGGAACTGTGTTCTTTAGAGAGAGGCATACCAATTATTGCCACACGCTTTGGGGTTGCACTGGCGGCTTCTCGCAGTTGTTCTTGTTCTGCTGCATTGCCAAACGAGACGAGTAGGGCAGCTAGGATGGAGTACAGTAAGAGAGGGATATGCCGTGGCATAGACGGCCACATTATTATGGTAGCACTAGAAAATGGCAGAGCTAATTGGTAGTCGAACAGTAAATACTGATTAGCCAGAGATTAATATATTTCAAGATATCATCAGATGATGAAGGATAAGGGCGGAGGTGATGCCGTCCATGAGTCTAATTTGGTAGTCGGCCCATGTCACGCTAGTCTCTTCTAGGACTAGTGCATTTCCATATCGCTTATCTTTTTGAGGGGCATCACAGATTTGATTTACTTAACTCCGAGCAATTCAAAATGGATTCCTATGACAGTGACTCCAGTGTCGATGAGGACTTCACCGATACCGGTGTGCTTCTAGGCTATGCTGCTGAGGATGTCATCGAGGATGTAATCAGCCATCTTGGAGGCTGGCCGGTATGTTACCACGAGAGATCACTTTGTATAACCAATTTCAACTAACCGCTACTTTGGTTCAGAAATGGCTCGATGAAGCATCCCCAGCACCTGGCGATTTCGCCAATTGCAAAGTCTGCAACAGCCCAATGCTGCTCCTCCTCGAATTGCACGGCGACCTGCCCGATCACTTCCCGACCGATGAACGACGCCTATACCTATTCGGCTGCCCCAGAAAGCCCTGCAACCGCAAGCCAGGCAGTATCAGAGCATTCCGCGCAGCGCGTAAAGTCGCCGTCGGTGGACAAAACAGACAGGTTGAAACGAAAACAGAGGAAACCCAGCCCGTCGCACCAGAACAACCCAAGCAAGACCTAGGAGCGAGCCTGTTCGGCGCAACAAACTTGACGAGCAACGTATCTTCGAACCCGAACCCTTTCTCATCCGCTTCGGGCCCAACACCCGCAGGAAGCAACCCCTTCGCGACACCAGTTCAGGCGACAGCACCTACAGCCGAGAAGCCCGCCGTGTCTGCAACCAACCTGGCCTCATCTTTCGCCGATAAAGTGCGCATCTCCTCGCCACCGCCCTCAGCCGCGACAAAGAAAACACCGGAATCAAGCACAGCGGCTCCGTGGCCCGCGCAGTCCGCGTTCCCTCCGCCGTACAAAAATTTCTACCTAGACGCAGAATACGAAACTCTCTCCCGGCCATCTTCACCCACAGTGCCAGATAACGTGCAAATTGAACCAATGGAGGAAGAGGGCGCTGGTGGCGCGGAGCTCAAGGACACTTTCGAGTCCGAGCTCGACAAGGACTTTATGAAGTTCTCGATGCGCATCGAGCACAACCCGGAGCAGGTGCTGCGGTATGAGTTCCGCGGCACGCCACTGCTATACTCAACTGGTGACGAGGTCGGTTCCCGGCTGCATGTTCACAATGCTCCTGGTGCCAAGATCACCACACTCGGTTCGGGGAGGATCCCGGCCTGTGAGTACTGTGGAAGCCAGCGTGTTTTCGAGTTCCAGCTTGTGCCGCATGCTATTACTATGCTTGAGGAGGGGCGTCCTGGTGTTGGGCTTGGGAAGGATGATGCGGGCATGGAGTGGGGCACTATCATCATGGGAGTTTGTGGTCAGAACTGTACGCCGCAGGAGTTGGGCGTTACTGGGTGGCGGGAGGAATGGGCTGGTGTGCAGTGGGAGGAGTTGAGGTAGATGTGGATGTGGATGTTTTGCATTAGATGTGAGGGCTTTGCCTACCCTAGGTTGTACATAGCAATGTGACCAGGAAAACGGAGTATTTTGGATGTATTGCCGAGAGATCGCCTTGTTACTTTTTTGTCACTTTTGATGCAGAGAATGGCTCTCGTATATCGAATGTTTGAGTCTGCCCACGGGAATGGTGCTGCGTTGGTGCCATTTATGCGACGATGATTCTCCATGTGAGTTTTGCTCTCTTTAAGTGGCCTCGGGAGAAGTTCTGTAAAAGAAGTTCTGGAGATTATATCGATACAGATGGGCTTAGCCTATTTGTCAGTAGCAACTTAGACATAGTTAGGGCACGGGTACCTCAACCGGTTAGTTTATATACATTAGAGGTGTGTTAGAACCAGTTACGGAACTTCCTTGGTTATCTAGCAATCTAGGTTGTATGTATGTTTAAGGTAGAGGACTTGATAAATAAACCTAGTACTATCATCTCTTCTCTTAAAGTCTATATATCCGAGAAGGATTGACTGAGCGCTTGAGGATACTTTGACTGGGCGGGTCCCTCCTGTTAATTCAGCTGTATTCTGATTCAGCTGGGAATAAGGTGATTTTCTGAATGTTGTTGTCATTTGGGCTTATAACTATCCTCCGCAAATGACACTATGTCGTGCTGTATCCCCATTGCTTCTCTAGAACTGGCTCTGTATGATTTTTGATATTGGCAGCAAAGCCGGCCTTGTGGAGACACGACTGAAGTTATGCTAATGGTATAAACATCACATCTATCTCTCTTCCTCATATTACCCAGTGCAAATATTTGCACGGACAAGTAAAAAAAAGAATCCAATACAGACAAGAGAAATAGAAAGAAAAAAAAAAAACACCGGATGCGCCAGGCCCCGACTCATCTCCGAGCCCCTCCTCCATGCGAAATCTCTCATCGGTTCGTCACTTGATCGGGGGTGGGATTCATGAACTCATGTCATGGATGGAAATCAAAAGATTTCCCTCACACAGCTTTTTGGAGATTTTAAAAAAAGGTGATGCGAAAAAAAGAAGATCAAGAATAAAGAGCTTCCGCAGTAGGCGCTTATGCGGGCAACTCGAAGCCACGGCGGATGACACGACCGAACTGCTCGATGCCGACGTGCTCGCTCTTGACCTCAGAGCGGGCCTCGTTTTCCTTGTTGGTAGGCACGCGGATGACGGCACCATCAACCTTCCAGCCGCAGACGTCGACGACGAACTTGTCGAGCGCGT